ATATGCTTATGGAAGAGAGAGATGGGGGGCGTGTCTTCAAAAATTCATGGATAAAGGACCAGCAGTTAGCGTAATGGCTATGTCGCTGGACTCCCACATAGTTGACTGCAGTTCGTGTCCCGAACCCGGTGGCTTAAATCTCACACCGGGCGCATGTGCGTGCGTGCCCAAGATCCCGAGAGGAGAACGGAGGAGAAGGGATTGCGGCATGGCCATCCCCCATCGGGGGTGATTTCTTGCTTTCTGTCTCTCTGTCTCTCTCTGTCTGTCTGGCGAGCACACATGCCCTATAGCAAAAACCTTTCCAAAAAAATAAATTCATGGAAAATACATATTATGAGAAAACTATTCATAGATTTTTTTTCAGGGTTTTTTTTTTACACCAAAATAAACCTTAATTCCATTTTCCCACAAATGTTTTAAAGTCCCTCGTATTTGTCACTGGAATCCATCAGCAGGCACTAGATTGTTACTGGGTATTTGTGGATGGGGAGATTTGTCATGGAATTTTTACGGATAAGAAGATATTTTTTAGTGGGATATCTGTGAAAAAGGGGATTTGTCACAGTGAGGGAAGGAGAATTTTCAAAGGAAGGATTTGCCAAGGAATTGGGGATTTGTCATCTGTTGTCTTAGCAACAGGAGAGACTTATAAAGGTGAGGATTCATCCACAATGAGAACAGTGTAGCAGGGAACGTTATGGCCCGTTATGACCCGGGAGGGGTTGGTTTTCTGGCAGAAGTCTTTGAAAATGTTGGTATGTGTCCGTAGGGGGCATTTGCTCACTGAAAAGCAGTGTATAAGTATCATAATAAGAAGAAAACTATTACAAATTAACATATTAATATGTGTAATGTCTCTGGGGAGATTATCAAGATCCTAAATTAAACTAAGGTTTCCGGAGTGCAAGTAAGTTATTGCTCATAATCTTATACATTATTTCCAGTGTCATATATTACCATTTATAATTTCAAACATTATTTGCAATATTGTAAATAATCATTACTGATAAGAATTATCAGTACTGGGACCAGCAGATGGTGGAATGGTTACATCACTGGACTCCCACATAGTTGACTGTGGTTTGAGTATCAGACCCGGCAGCTTAAAACTCACACCAGACGTGTGTGCATGCATGCCCAAAATCCCAAGAGAAGAATGGAGGAAAAGGGATTGCAGCATGGCCATCCCCCCGGGGAGTGATTTCTTGCTTTCTGTCTCTCTGTCTCTCTCTGTCTCTCTGGCAAGTGCATTCACCCTATAGCCAAAATCTCTCTAAAAAAAGAAAAGAATTATCACTACTTAAGTTATCAATTAAATTATAATGACTAGAATTGCTACTAATACTTATAAGTGCTATATACTGGGACCAGCAGATGGCATAATGGTTATGCCACTGGACTCCCACGTAGTTGACTGCAGTTCGAGTCCTGGACCCGGTGGCTTAAAACACACCAGGCGCATGTGTGTGTGTGCCCAGAATCCAGAGAGGAGACTGTAGGAGAAGGGATTGCGGTGTGGCCATCCCCTCTGGAGAGCAATCTCTTACTTTCTGTCTCTCTGTCTCTCCAGTGAGTACACTTTCCCTATAGCAAAAACCTCTCTAAAAAACTAAAATAAAAATAAGTGCTATATGCCTACCACTGCTCCAAGCACTTTACATATACTACCTCATTTAATGCACATATGGTCACTAGGACTTAAGCATTCTTTTTAATCCCTATTTTATAGATGCAAACACTGAGGCACAGAAAGGCAGTAAGATTTCCCCCAAGGACATAGAGCTAGGACATGGAAGGGGTAGGATTTGAATACAGATGACCCAGCTCTGGGGTTCCTGTTCTTAACCACTCCACTGCCTGTCTAGAAATTACATTGCTGTTACTAATATTATACATCATTATCATTATGAGTGTCATATATTTTGACCTGAAAAAATATCCAAGGGGTGAATACACCCAGTAATCATCCACCAACCCTAGCATAGACCTCTGGAGGATTCTGTGATACCTGTATTTTAGGGAGAAGCACTGAGGCTCAGGTGAGGGAAGGACTGGTCACCAAGCTACCCATTGAGCCGGGCCCCAAGGTGCATGCCTCAGATGAATGTCACACACACACACTTTATGTCAGCCATCATAGAGTCTCTCCCAGATGCTCAACACACAGAAACCCTGAATGCTGAGGGTAGGGGTACTCACTTTGCTCACTTTAATGGCTTTTCTAGCAGAATGATGATCCCAGGACTACAGATCTGCCAGGTGTCTGGGGGAAGTGGCCTTGTGTGCTATTCTAGACTCTGTATATCCTGAGGTACTGATTGACCTTGTCCATGCTGCATTGGGTCTTGGTCAAGGTCTACATGCAGGGTGCGACAGGTCAGCAGGAGAATGGCCTCCATGCTGGCTTGTATCTTTCCCCTGCTACCTTCTACTTCACCTTCCTCCCAGGCCTCAGCATGGCTGAAAGCTCAGAGAAGGGGTCCTAAGCTAACTTGGGCCCTGGGGAAACCTCCCAGGAATGCAAAATGGCTTTGGGACAGGAAACAGAGGACCCAGGGGACTACTCTTGGGGTCCTAGAGGAGACTTGGAGCTGCCTGAGAGTGCAGGAAACTGATACTAGAGTTTGGTGAATTGTCAGGAACTGCCGACCTCTCACAGGCAGCTGAGGGAATTAAGACAGGTTACGAGGGCTAAAGCAGGGCCTGAGCCATTTCCTTACAGTGGTACCCATCAGCAAAGACACTATTTGCCCCTTTTGATCAAGGACAGGATTCAGACCCTCCTAGGGCACAACCAAGGTGTAGAAGATGTTGATGGAGAAATGGTTGCTCATCCCTACTCAGGTGGATAAAGACCTGTTGGTCAAAATCTGCCCATCCCAAGTGGCGTGTAACTTGGACCCTAGGGAAATCTCCCAGGAGGGCAAAAGGCTTTGAGACAGAAAAGAGAGGACCCAGGGGGTTACCCTTGGTGCCCTGGAGGTGACTCAGATTCTTTTTTTAATGTTAAGAGAAGTTTTTGCTATAGGGTGTGTGCGCTCGCCAGAAAGACACAGATAGAAAGTGAGAAATCACCCCCCGGGGGTAGATGGCCACACCACAATCCATTCTCCTCCATTTTCCCCTCAGGATCTTGGGCATGCATGCATACGTGCCCAGCGTGAGTTTAAACCACCCTGTCCAGGACTCAAATCGTGGTCGACTACGTGCGAGTCCAGCGACGTAATTATTACGCCACCTGCTGGTCCCAAGGAGACTTCGATTCTTATCAATAGGAGCAGTGGGTGGTCTGATGGGAAGGAATGTGGACAATGTGGACATCTCTTTTTTTTTTTTTTTTTAGAGGTTTTTGCTATAGGGCGCATGTGCTTTCCAGAAACATAGAGA